ACACAGAACATAAAACATACTTTTTTTTGGAGAATCAAATAAAAGAATACAAAGAGAATTTTCTTAATTTCAAAGATGTGCCAGACATTCAGTTGTCTGTAAGAGAAATCAGTTTAAAAGATTTCAAATTTGGGGGACAAGGCTTTATAAAATACTACTGCAATAAAAAAAGCTTTTTAAAATTATGTAAACATGGACCTCATGAACGTTAGACAAAAAAAACAAACATAATAGAATACTAATGAGGTAATAAAATCATTAGAAAAAAGTACAGAGAAGCTAAAGAAAAATGTCTAAAAATTGAACAACTTCAAAAAAGATACGACACCTCTAACCATAGATAAGTAGAAGAAATGAGAAGTGGATACAGAAAGAGAGAAGAAACAATATTAAGAAATAAAATAACGAGAGAATTGGAGGTACAGAAAACAAACTGGAGAGATAGAAAGAATCCATTCAGACACTTTTTGATGATGATATACCTTGTTCTTCACCTTCCATGGATGATAGAATTAATAAAAAAGGTCCAAAAATACCCAAAGAAAAAGTTATTTATGCAGTAAAAGCTCAGAAAAACAGAAAAGCTACCAGTTCAGACAATATCAATGTCTTCTTCGTCTTCTTCTTTTTATATAGACATGACTCTGTCTGTTTTTCAATGTGCCTCCAGTAAGTTGCCTTTACATCGTTTTTGTGGTCATCTACTCTATTTGTTGTCATTCGGCTTATATGATCGTTCCATCCTATTCTTCTATTTCTTACCCAGTTCTTGATGTTCTCCATCTTGCATCTACGTCGTATATCTGTACTTCTAGCTCTATCCTATAGTGTCTTACCATCAATTTTTCTGTGTTTTCATCTCTGCTATTTCTAACATACTTTTTGTCCTTTCTGTATCAGGTCTTGTTTGTGCTGCGTATGTCATTATTAGTCTGATGACTGTGTTGTAAATTCTGCCTTTCGTTTCTTTGCCGATATTTTTATTTCTTTATATTGTTTTATTTAGGCATCCTGCGACTATGTTTGCTCTATTCACCTCGATTTCGAGCTTTCCGTAGCCTACGGAATGCCCAATGAAATGCCTAGATATTTAAACTCCATCACTTGTTCTATTATCTAACCTTCCAGCTTCAATTTACATCTAAGTAAATTTGCTGTTGTAACCATGCATTTTGTATCAATGTCAATATCAATGTCGAAATACTTAGATTTATTGCAGACAACGAAAGTAAAAGGCTCGACTTATTAACAGCACTATTCAATATGATATATGACACAGGTAAAATACCATCAGACTGGCTAAAATCAAAATTCGTAACATTACCAAAAAAATCCAATGCCTCACACTGCGTGACTATCGAATATTAAGCATTATGTCTCATGTCCGTAAACCTTTTCTCAGAATCATTCATACACGAATTTATAAGAAGTGTGAGTTTTTGATTAATAACACAATAACATTATGCATGTTTTATTGATTACCGGATTAACAACAATTAGGATAGAATTTAAAAGAACAAAAAGAAATAAGCAAATAATAGCTATTAACCCAGATAAGCTTAAAGAAGAATCCACTAGTAATGATACGGGAAGAAATACATAGACACTTGAGTAACAGAACAGTACAATCGACACAAACTCCCGAGGAAGACTGGCACTATATTGAGAAAACACTTACAAGAGTAACAGAAGACTACCTCAAACAAGATACAAGCAAAAAGAACAAACCATGGATGACAGAAGAAATTTTAAACATGATGGACGAAAGAAGAAAATACAGAGGTAAAAATGAAACAACATACAAGCAAATACACAAGAATATCAGAATAAAGATCCAACAAACCAAAGAAACCTGGCTAGATGAAAGATGCCAAGAAATTGAAGAGTTGGAACAAAGACATGATACTTTCAATCTACATAAAAAAGTAAAAGAAGCCACTGGAAAATTTAAACAAACTCCTACGTCTTTCATCGATGATATACATGGGAACCCGCTACTGAACATAGAAGATCAAATAGGTAGATGGAGAGAATACGTGGAAGGGATGTTTCAAGACCGAGAAAGGACGAACATTTACATGCAGGAGGCATCGACTGGACCTTATATCACAAAGCAAGAAATTATCAAAGCGACAAATCAGATAAAGAACGGAAAAGCTGTTGGGGAAGATAATATCCCAATTGAAATAATAAAGATATTACTAGACGAACACATCGAAGTAATGGAAGATATATTTAACAAAATATACGAAACAGGCATAATACCAAATGATTGGCTGACATCGGTGTTTATACCACTACCAAAGAAGAGAAACTCCAAGAAATGTGAAGACCATAGGATTATTAGCCTGATGAATCATATGTTGAAGCTTTTCCTACGAGTAATACACAATAGAGTATACAATAAACTAGACGAACACACCGGTCAAACTCAGTTTGATTTTAAGAATGGGTTCTGAACAAGAGAAGCACTTTTTTCAATACGTGTGCTAGTTGAAAGATGTAGAGATGTCGATTCTGATGTATACTTGTGTTTTATAGACTTTCAGAAGCCGTTTGACCTGGTGAAACATGATAAACTAATAGATATTTTAAGGTCATGTAATATCGACGATAAAGACTTAAGGATCATTTCAAACCTCTACCAAGAACAAAAGGCTAAAATCAGAATAAAAAGCGAAACATCTGGAAAAATCAATATCGAGAAGGGAGTAAGACAGGGATGTGTCCTATCACCTTGCTGTTCAATGTTTACTCTGAGAAGATATTTCAGAAAGCTTTGGAAGGCACCTCGGATGGTATAATTATAAACGGGCAATGTATAAATAACCTGCGATATGCTGATGACACTGTCATACTGGAAGATAATGCTGGAGCCCTGCAACGCTTAATGGACCGAGTAACGACAGCCTGTAGAGAATTTGGAATGAAATTGAATACAAAGAAGACAAAAACGATGGTCATCAGCAAGCACCAAAACAGAAGGGTGAAGGTCAATGGCGACGGAACAGATCTGGAAATAGTAACAAGAACAACGTACCTTGGACGTAATCTTGATGAAACTTGGGACCACTCACTAGAGATAAGAATACGCCTGGAAAAGGCACGTACAATGTTTTACAAAATGCAAAAAGTTCTATGCAACTCATTAGAGAACTAGAAAACTTAAGTGCTATGTTTTCTCCACCTTGCTCTATGGTGTTGAAGCCTGGACAATGACAGAAGCAACACAAAAAAGAATCCAAGCATTCGAACTCTGGTGTTACCGTAAAATGCTCAGAATATCCTACATGAGCCATACGAGAAATGCGGAAGTCTTGCGGAGGATGAATAAGGAAAGAGAGCTTATGCTTATAATAAAAGAACGGAAAACACAATATTTTTTCACATCATAAGAAATCAAAAGTATGAACTGCTCCAACTTATAATCGAAGGCAAAGTCAATAGCAAAAGAGGACCAGGAAGAAGACACAACTCTTGGCTTAAAAACCTACGGCAATGGACGAACATGACCTCCATGGAACTATTCAGGGCTGCTACAAATAAGATTAAATGGGCAAATGTAATGGCCAACGTCGTTAAGGATAAGGCACCGTAAGAAGAAGATTGATTATCGAAAAGCATTTGCCTGCATGAACCACCAAACGGTTACAATTAAAATAGAGAACACGGCATCCGAAGATATACGAATTCGACGAGGAGTGCGACAAGGTTGCGTCTTATCACCGCTATTATTTATTCTGTATTCGGAATATATATTTAGAAAAACATTAAATACCAGGTACGCTAATGATACCGTCCTAATAGCGAGCAACTTACAAGAACTGCAAAATATATCAAATGCGGTAGTTCGTCATAGCTAAATGTTTCCAAAATTAAAATTCTAATATTTTCAAAAATACCAACAAACGTACATATTTATGCTAAGGGACAAATAATTGGACACGTAACTTCAATAAATTATTTGGGAGCAAATATTAAGAGCCAGTTTACCCAAAAAAGAAATCCTATCAAGCATCGAATAAGTGAGGAAAACACTCATAAACATGAAAACATTGTTTACAACATAAGACTTTAGTCTAGAGCTAAGAATTCGAATGATCAGATGTAACATTTTCTCTGTTTTGCTGTATGGCTGTGAAAGTTGGACAATAGACTCTGAAACATAAAAATGAATAGATGCCTTTAAATTGTATATATAAAAACGGATGCTGAGTATTCCACGAATACAAAAAGTTACCAATGGTGAGGCACTTCGGTGCATAAGTTAACAAAAGTAATTACTCAGAATAGTCAAAAAGAGAAAAATACAATACTTGGGTCATGTGTTGAGAGATGAAAGATATGAATACTCCAAATCATATAAGAAGGTAAAGTGCAGGGCCAAAGATCAGTTGGAAGGTGCCAGAACTCGTGGCTGAAAGATCTGAGAAGATCGTTTCACAACTCATTCACACAAATATTTTATGCAGCAGTCTCCAAAGCTACAATTGCCATTTGGATCGCCAACATTTAAAATGAGACGGCGCAATAAGAAGAAAAAAAGGTGTAGTGTATTGTGCCATTAGTCTAAATATCGTAAAGCCTCACCTTGTCAGAATAAAGACTACGGTTTTATTTTATTTACAACATTATAAAAATAATAAACATAAAAATTAAAAAATGACACTTTATTAAACCAAATCTAATAAATTATGATGTTTTAAAACCTGATCAAAGTTTGACTAGTCAAACTCCGATTTTATGAAATTAAGTTTTGACGTTTGGCTGACCAATTTATTCTTTCTTAAGTTTAACGAATACTCTTTAGTCCAATGCCGAAAATGGAATTTATTTCAGAGTTTTGGCGTATGTTCGTAAGTTTAGTCAAACCTAGGAGAGAACGATATTAAAATTAAAAAAATGGAAGAATAATTGAATTAACATACATTTATTGACAAATTTTAAAATACAATCTATATTATATGTATAGTTTTTTCGTCATTGATTAATGTGCTTACCTAGAACATTGTAAGTATCTGACCGCTCTTCACTTGAAAATACACTTATTAGTAAATAAACAACCGAAACAGAAACCAAACTTAACACTTTAAACCCTAAAACTAACTTTTTGTGTCTAGTCCTTGGTAACATTGCCATAACCTACGCGATTACACTGTACGACTAAACGCTCCACAAAAACATTTAAAAATATATAATTGATTAAAGCAAACAAGGTTCGATCAATTCATTCTTTATCAACATTGAACCTTTGACCTATGAGGATTTTTAAAAGCAACGATTCAGTTTTCAACCACGAAATATTTATTTAAATTATGATATTTTCGTGATCTGGTAAATGTGATTTTCTTTTTACTACAAGCATTTTTATTTTGTGCTTACGTTTTTATTTATTTTAACGTGTAATTTATTATCTTGACTTGTTTAGTGAAGGATATTTCCTATCCTCCGCATCACACTTGATCCAAAATTGTATCTATAATGTTATTATTTTATCTTCTTTCATTTCTACTCTCTATGATAATCTCTTTCTTTAATTGTCATTTTACTATAGATACTTTATTTATATCCGCTATTTATAGTCGCGTTTCCAACACAGCTAAGTCTCATGGCCGATGCAAGTTGATTAAAAAAAAATACCACGACTACTATCATTAGGTTCTCGGGAAGAACCGCGTTGAGAATTTAATGCTCGACATTGCACAAATCAAAGCTGCCCCAATGGGATCTCCCCTCTCTCCCGTAATAGCTGATATTTTCATGGAACATTTCGAAACAGGGAGCCCTGTCCTCATCAAATCTTAAACCCACCTGCTGGTTACGGTATGTTGATGACACTTTTGTCATTTGGCCTCATTGTAAGGACGCGTTAGATCTCTTCCTCTCCCACCTGAATGGAATACATCCTAGTATTCAATTCACGATGGAAGTCGAGTCTGAAGCGTCTTTGCCATTCCTTGATGTCCTTATTCAGAAAAACTTACCTCACAGTTTTTCCTATTCCGTGTACCGGAAACCCACTCATACAAACCGATATCTTAATGCCCAGTCACATCATCACCCCGCCCAACTCAATTCAGTGGTCAACACTCTCATTTCTCGTTCCATAAGACTTAGCGACATCAATCATAGGTCATCCGAAATCAATTCAATAAGGCAAACACTCTTACAAAACGGCTACCACAAAACCCAAATCAATAGGAGCATTCAAAAACATCTAAACCCCATTCCATCCAAAAAAGAAACCTTGCCGCCGGATCAACCCAAAATCTTTCTACCTTTTATTAAAGGTGTCACTGACAAAATCAGTAGAACTCTTCTTCCTGTAAACATCAAAACCATCTTTACTACTTACTCTAAGTTGTCCAATCTCGTCAGATCCGTAAAAGACCAAATCCCTAATGAAGACCATGGTGTCTACGAGATACCTTGTTCTAGTTGCCCACGTACATACATCGGACAGACAAACCGACGAATCCATAACCGTAATTACGAACATTCTATATCAGTCAAACATTCCGATACTACTTCAGCCCTAGCCCAACATCACATTCAAACAGGCCACAAAATAGACTTTGAAAGAGCAAAAACCATCGCCCCATCCGCTCCTTAAAATCAAGAATCATTCGTGAAGCTATCGAAATCGAAAAACGTCCTAACAGCTCAAATACGCGCGATGACGCAAAACGATTGCCGCCAACATGGCGACCCCTACTTCAGCGACCTCCCGCCCACACCGCTCAGGCCATGTCAGTTCGACACTGAGGAGTAGGCAGATTGATTATAATACAGAACACGATATATATATATATATATATATATATATATATATATATATTATATATATATATATATATATATATATATATATATAAAGGATAATGCAAGTGGATAAAAACAGTAAAATGTAATGGCATATCTCGCAAAACAGAAAACCAAACAAGGTATATACGTATTTCTGATATGGTCGTCTTTAGTATGGTGCAGCCAAGTTAGAAAAGAAGCATATTAACTTGGGAAAGGATTACTACAGTAGCAATGTGACCAGTTTGGGGCAGTAGAGTTAAAATACCCTGATGATTTCCAGGGCAACAACGAGCAATAACCACAGAGGAAGCTACAGCTACTGGGAAAAAATGCCAAACCTTGAAACGTTTAAAACAAATGGAAAAGGATATTGCGAGTGAATAATAAAAGTAGCATATCTCGCACAACAGAAAACCAAATAGGTACCTGACTATTGGTTGTCAAAAAAAAGCAAAAAATAAAGCGTAAAATACCTTCTTTTAGCATAATTCGTACACAAATTATGTTATTGGTATTTTAAAATTCAGGTATAAGATAATTGCTTAAAATATATCTGTAAACAAAAATAAAGTGTTAGTCAAATTTATTTTGAAACTAGAAATAGATTTAACCAATCTGCAACGATCTTACAAATCCAGAATTAACATACTAAAAATGCTGTCAAATGCCTTTTGGGGGACTAATAAAACAACCTTACTTACTTTTTACAGATCATTAATACGAAGTATTAATAAAAAAACTTGACAATATTTACAATACATGCTTGAGATTAGTTTTATATGCTTCCAGAACCAGTCCGGTAACAAGCTTACAAGTTCTTGCTAATGAATCTCCCCTAAGGCAACTTCTGTCACTAAATTATATTGCCAAAATTTTAGCAGACAAAAACAGCGTAACCTACTCAACAATGTTTTGCAGAACAAATGTATGTTCCGATCACTACAGGTCCTTAAAATGAAAATACTACCATTTATTGAGAGAATAAAACGTATTGGTCTTAATTTAGAACATTCCAAACTTACAGTGTCCATTTATGTAAATTTTCCTTCTTGGATTATGAAACCTTTAAACATAGATACTTATCTAAAAGAACTCCTTAAATATTTAGCACATTCGTTAATTATCCAGCAAGCTTTTAAACATACAATCTCCAAATACCCATCAACTCATTAAATCTTTACTTATGCTTTCAAAAAATGTGATGAAGGGCATGCTTTAGCTTCTATCTGCGAAAACATGAAGACCACCATGTTCACCATACGAATTCCAACAAATTGTTGTATATATACTGGAGAATATACACCGAATATTGGAGAAATAACGTTAAACGACATAAATTTAGAAACAATAAGCGAAAACATCTACCTGAGATAGATAATGTAAGTTAGAAACAAAGACAATCAAACTGCCAAAATTACCAGAAAAATAAGGTTAGCGTGGGCAGGATTTGGAAACCTGAGTTGGATTTTGAAAAGGACTAAAATAGAACAATAGTTGTAAACCAGAATTTACGATCAGTGTACCCTACCTATACTCACGTATGGTTTACAGACGTGGACACTCACCAAGCCTAAAATGGATAAAATAGCGAAGGCACAAAGAGCGATGGAAAGACCAATGCTCGGGATGAGACTTATAGAAAAAAAAACAAATGAATTAGAAGCAAAACCAAAGTAAAAGACGCAGAAGAACATGCTGCCAAATTAAAATAAAGCTTCGCAGGACACAATGTCCGACTAAAGGATAAAAGATGAAATCACGAAATACAACAATGGAAACCATGGTTAGAGAATAGAAGTAGGGGAAGACCACAAATGAGATGGTCTGATAACAGTAAAAAGATCGGAAAGCACAACTGGAAGCAAGTGTAGCAAGATAGAAAACACTGGATTGATTTGGGCGAGGCCTATGTCCAAAGTTGGATTACTCAAGGGTAAATTAGCAAATTTGTTATTATCACAAATTTCTGAAAAAGCAAATTTATTGTTAACGCCGATTCAATAAACTCATTACTTGGAATAAAACAGTTATATACAACTCACGCTATACTCCTTAAGATCAAGGAAGAAATATTTCATTTACAGGCTCAACAAAAAGACATATCCTTTATTTGGATACCTTCCCACATGAAAATAAGTGGCAATGAGGAAGCCATCATAAATAAAATACCATGGACTGATCACAAAGTAAACATCAAAGACCACATCTACAGAGCTTGGCAGACTACCTGGGATCACACTGCCATCAAACTCAAAAAATGCATGGTTCAAGTAGGTGCTACCCTCGTCTTACTAAGAAATAAAAAGACCAAGTCATCATTAACTAACTTTGAATAGGACATATTCAACCTACAAACAAACATATTATTAACAAGGACGCTACTTCAATGTGTACCAAGTGCAACTCAATTATCAGTGAATCATATAATTATCGAGGGTCCAGTATACAAAAAAGAAACGATCGCGTGTGCCCTGTGCAAGGCTTAGTTATTGTTATGCATTGTAGCCACAGCAACAACGTGAGCAGTTAGTTAAAAGAAGAGTCAGTGCTGTGCTGTGTAGCCACAACAAAGAAGTGGGCATTTGATGTCAAGAAAAAAATACTAAGATGGACCAGGTGACATCTAGCTTACAAACAGTGTCAGCAAAATTAGGTTAAAGAAAAATACTGAATAATCTTGTAGATTAGGTGTATTCTTATTTTTTAAAATAAACAAAGTCCTTCCAATTTTGAAAATCTTAGAAATAGCAAAAAAGCCAGAAAAAAAGCAAATGTGTAACGAATATTATAAAAAATGTAAACGCAGACAAACTAAACCAGGAAAAAACCAGGTGTCAATATTTCGGCCTCTAAAAGAGTCGCAAAATCAACAAGGATGCATACATACAGAAAAAATTGTAGTCATGGTAAACAGTTATATCTGGTAAACAAACACATTTATATTATTAATACGAGCATAATTAGTAAGATTTTGTTAATGGTTTTTTGTAAGATATTGTTTTTGATATTCTAAAAAGAGATTAATAACTAGTTAATAAATATATTAATATAGATTTATTAGAAAAAGATATACACAAAGTTGCAAGTAATGTTTAAGTTTAAGCTTTTTTCACTCTAATTGTAAAAAAATCAAATAGTTCATAAAACGTGAACACGTATCAAATATGCACTATACCAAGAAAAATTTGCCTATGACCTACTGTTTTATGCTGATGCAGGTCATCTTACAAGTAATAGTTCCTAATAAATCAAGCCAATACCGAAGTCAAAACTATGGTCCTAAAATAAAAATTCTTCTTCTTCATGTACCATGTCCTTTCGGAAGTTGGTTACCATCTTTTTCTTCTTGCAGTACCGTCTCCTATCGGAGGTTGGCTAC